GTGCAATAAGTGCAATAAATGTAATAAGTGTAATAAATTACATTTAAGATCGGAAACGGTATTTCGGATCCGAAGGGTTAGAAAAGGGATAAAGGGAGAAAATAATGGATATTAAATAAATACGTGTAAATAGATTAATTAGTTTTAATGGATATGTCGCATTTGTAAGCGACGAATTTATATTATAAATAAAGACCGAAATGGCCCTTAAGAGCAGTATGCTTCGTTTGCTTTATTAAACAATAAATCCTAATACCCTACATTGTACTTAATAAATACTAACACTATTAACATTACAAACCCTGTGAACCCCTAATAACTAGTGGTTGAATCCATAGAGGAAATTATCTGGATATCCAGATAATATCCGAATATCTGAATCTTAAATCCAGTATCCAGATAGGAGTTTTCAGATATCCGGATAAGGCCAGCTAATATCCAGATAGTATCTGGATACAATCTGAATATAATTAAATTATTAATTACTACATGTCTATGGAATTTTTTTTTTTTTGTTAGAACACAAGAGACAGTTTTTTTTTAGTTATTAGCAATTTTTGAAAAATACTATGTTACACCTGCTCTTGTGATTTATATCCAAAAATTTCCTTTTTTAGTTTGTATAACAGTGAAAAATAAGGATGTGTTGGTGCAAGGAACCTAAATATTGAAATCAAATCTATTCTAAATTATTAACATTGATATTTATTGATAATTTAAGAGATATTTGATTTAATGTACTACTTAATTAAGGTTACATAAATTTAAATTTTAAATTTTTTTCTTGGTGTAATTTGTAATGTAACAATGATTAAGTTACATATATTTCTTAAATTATCAATTTTAATAAAATTAGATTTCAATGTTTATGTTTTGTCTCTATAAGGTATAATTGCAGCTTAAAATTATTTACATTATATGATTGTAAGTAATAATAAAGTTTAATTTAACTTAATAAGCTTAAATAAATAATTTATTTGGAAATATTAATTATATTACTACTTTGATAAATACATATATATAGACATGAGTTGAGAATAATTTATAATTTTTATGTTTCTATACAATACATACCAATTTAATAAGAAATAAGTAAAAATTAAGTTTAAAATAAGCTTTTTTTAATTATGGATACTATGGATGAAGTTGGGTCTGATCATGATGATGTATTAAATAGTGAGAATGAAATAGAACAAAGATTTGTTTTTCAACATATTGGCGATGAAGAATATCTTTCAAGTAATGATAATTATTTAGATGATATGATAGCAAATGATCTTTCTGCTTCTGATAATATAATAGATAATGAGACATTACCTAGTAATTATATACTATTACCAATGCATAAAGTTGCTAAATTAAAAAGCAAAATCTGGAATTAATTTGATCCATTTCAAGATAAAAATAATCTTACAAATATAGTTGATCATTGTACTATTGAAATAATACACAACAATAGACAAACAAAATGTAATAAAATTATTGTTACAGGATATGGATCTACTGGAAATTTTTGGGATCATTTGGGTGCTATTCATGGAATTACAAAAGATAACAATACAAAATTTACTAAATCAAATCAACAAAATATTAAGTATACATTTCAAAATCCTATACAACAAAAATTACAAAATCAAGTTTTAGTAGAATTTATTATTGAAGATGATCAACCACTAAATATATTAGAATCAAAAAAATTTCAAATATTTATAGCTTCTTTAGATCCAAATTATAAATTACTAACCAATAAATTTATTAAACAAATGATATATAAAGCTTATAATTATTTTTTGAATACCCTTATTTAAAAACTTAATTTAGTTATTTCATATTCTTTAACTTGTGATTTATAGACTTCTTATAGTAGAGATGGATATTTAGGTGTAATATGTTACTGGATAAATAATGAATTTAAACTTAATAAAATTGTTCTTGGAATTTACCAATGTAAATATCCTCATACTGGAGAAACAATTAAAGATATGTTGAATAATATTATGAATAAATAGAAAATAGAATCTAAAGTAATTAGTATTACAACTGATAATGCAACAAATTTTAAAAAAGCTATTGAATTATTAAATTTAGAAATATATTATATTAAATGTTCAACACATATATTACAATTAGCAATTGGAAAAGGATTAATGTTAGCAAAAAAATTAATAACAAAAATTAAATATCTTTTAGCTTTTTTTACTTCTCCAAAACAGTCAAAAAGATTAGAAATTGTACAAAAAGATTTTTTAAAAATTTCTTCTAATAAGATATTATAATTTTTAAATATTTATTTTTATATAAAATTTTATTATTTTTATTATATTTTTTTTATAATTTTAATTATATAATATAACAAATATATTATCATAATAAATTATAATTAATATAAATTATTTTATATGAATATATAAGATTAAAAACTTGAAAACTAATTAAACTAAATTATTAAATCAGTTTTTAAATTTTTATTCTTATATACTTATATAAATATACTATTATTAAAGTTTTATATATAATAATTTATAGTAATAAAAGTAGTAATTTTTTATATAAAAATAGATATTTTTTTAATTTTAATTAAATAATTTAAATTTAAAATTTATTAATTTATAATTTTTAATTTTAGATAATTACAAATAATCATAAATATCTTAAAGTTATTCAAGATATTGAAACCAGATGAAACTCTTCATTTTTAACTTAGAAACAATTATTAGAAATAAAAATGTAATTAATATTGTTAAAATGACTATGAATCAAGCAACAGATTATCAAACCAGAAAAGAATACCAATATCTTAAACAAATTTTATTAACTAATCAAAAATGAGATATTTTAAAATCTTTAGTAAAAATTTTATTATCATTTGCAGAAGCTACAATATTTTTAGAATCAAGCAAATTTTTTATGATATGTTTTATTAATCCAATTATTAATACATTAAAATTAGGTGTTTTTTCAAATAATCAACAAGATTTTGATATATTAGAA